CAAATGCCTTCACAGACTAGTAAAGGGGAAGTCTTGAACTGATCGTTGTAAAACGTGGATGGAAACGGAAAATAAAAAAAAGCGTAGGCGTCAATTGTGGTTTTCTAAAGACAAACATTAGAGCTGGTCAATGTTGCGACACCTGGTATGCAGTTATTGTGATTCTATTCATTCATCCTATCTCCCCTATTTAATCTAGTCCAAATGGACTGTATTGCTTACATGAGAACATATTTCCCACACTGTGTAACAAATCCCTATTTTACACAAACAGATTTTCCTATGGGAGGAGGGTAATTATACATGGAAGATAAGTAATGCAATTTAAAAGATTTAAAATGTGTATCAGTAATAATTACATTCAGACGCACCTAAAACAGCCTTTCTGCTACTAAATCTCTCTTTTCCATCATAATACATACCATTCAACATTTCACCTGGACAAATAGGGACAATTTAATATTCGTGGGGTTGTGGCCAGGTTCGAGGCTGTTCTGATAAATTTTAGGCAACTTACTAATAATGTATGCAACTAAAATGTATTTTAGAACAATGTATCTTATTTAAACAGTCTGATTTCAAAACACATTTATTGTAGTTTAATAATTGCTGTGGAGCTCTGTTAAATATAAAAAAGGGACATTAAGATAGAAAAGAGGGACAGATGGATTTGGGCCCACAATAGAGACTGTCCATTCTAAATAGTGACACTTGGGAGGTATGGGTATATAATTTTTGCATAAAAAAATCTATACCATGCTGTAATGGACCGTTTTGCACACAAGGGGTTAAAACCGTTTAGGCAATCGTCCCCTTTTAGAGATGCAGGCACAGCTACTGCAGAACACCAAACTCCTGAACAGGATACCAAGTAGCACTCCAAATTCCTGAACTGGAACCTCACGAATAGCTGCTAGCAGCTGAACAGGAAAAGTACCCAAGCGGTTTACACTCCTGGCAATCAGACTGGAACAGCATACAGTAAATCTCCCCAAGAACGAGACAAAGCTCTGTGTTGAGGGTCAAGCAGTGAACAGTTTAATGAGAGCTACCTGCCCAGTATTTATGCAGGTCTCCCACCTGGTGGACACTCCCCTAGGGGACCAAATGGGAGACTGTGACAAGGGACAGACAAGCAGACAAATAGGACACACAGTCACAATATATTCCCACAATGCATCCTGGCTTCCTCCCCTCTGCCCTGGGAGATAATTGAGAAGTAATTCAATTATCTCCCAAGACAAAGGCAAATCTCCATTATGCACGTGGGGATACTAAAACAAGCATTACTGTTAAAATACACCAGGTAAGACACATTACATTAAAACTATACATTTAACATATCCCCAGATAGCTCAGGTCTGAGCGCACATTATTAAGCGAATGGCGCTCAGACCACACGAATACAGTTTAATCGCCATGGAGCCAAAGTCTTTAATTCCACGAACAGGCTCCATGGCAGGCTATCTGGGTACTTGCACACCGAATACAATTGCAGCACTAAAAGTCCCGAATGCTCCGTTGTTCGGTTCCCGAACGGGTTTGCAGACTTCCAGCCTCAGCGGGGCTTGTAAGACAAAAGTGTCCGCTTTTGGTGTCCTGCCGCTGGGTAGAACAAGCGCTGGCTACCCGGGGAGCTTCCATAACACCGCCATCGTGTGGCGGCTAGGTGTAACCGCGACCACCCAGTAATTGTCAATTAAGCTGCGGTTAACCGCAGCTTCAGGGAGGTTAATTGCCGGCACACTCCAGCTCCCAGGTGGTCTATTCATTTGTGCGGTTGTTCGGTAGATTGAATCTACCGAACAACCGGCAGAAAAGCACGAATACAGCTTTTCTGCAGGCGAAACAAAGACTTTTAACATGGGGGCCATAGTCCAAAGGCAGCAGGCGAGCAACCAGGCTTCTCCAATGCAATGTGGCGAGATTGGTCTCGTCACATCTCTCCCCTTTTCCAAACAGACTAACAGGGTATCTGACCTCCTGCCGGTCAGTGCCCTTGTTAGGCCAGCAGCCCACCCACAAAACACAATCAACGGCACAGCCCACCCACAATAAATGGTTACTACACCTGGGTAAAGGAGAAGCTTGTCCATGTCCAGGTATCTCACCACGGCTGTGCTGGGTATGGGTATGCTGACTTGGTGGGTTGCTGCGTGGGCAGAGTACTCTGCCCTGTTGCCAGCGCTACTGGGAGGGTAGCCTGGTTGAAGCCTGGTTGTTGAAGGGGGAGACCGACTGTGTCCCCTTTAGACACACAGCCCTGCTGCTGGAGACCGACTGTCTCCCCTTTGGTTACACCTCTCTGCTGCTGGAGACCGACTGTCTCCCCTTTGGCTAAACAGCCCTGTTGCTGGGGGGCAGAACCGACCGTACCTACCCCCTGTGCTGGACGTGCAGAGTCCACGGTCCCATCTGCACAGTTGTGGGGCTTACTGTCTCCCCCTGGTACATTAAGCTGCCGCTGGGGAGAGGGGGTAACAAGCTCCTCTCCCATATATACTTCCAGCCGCGGGGGAGGGAGACCGACTGTCTCTGCTCCCAATACAGAATCCTGCTGCTGGGGAAAGGAGACTGGGATCTCTAATCTCGGTAGGACACTCTGCCGCTGTGGAATGGAGACTGGGCTCTCAATTCCCTGTTTTATCTCCCGCTGGGGAATGGAGACGGGGATCCCAATTCCCAATAATCTATGCTGCCGCTGGGGAATGGAGACTGGGCTCCCAATTCCCAAAACATCATACAGCCACTGGGGACCTGAGCCGACTGCCCAGCATCCCTGTAGCTCACCCTGCCACTGGGGAGGGAGGACGCTTCTCTCCTCTCCCTGCAAGGAACACTGCCGCTGGGGGACAGGACCACTTGTCTCTGCCCCCTGTAACTCAGCCTGCCGCTGGGGAATGGAGCTCGGGCCCCCAATTCCCTGCAATATCTCCCACTGGGGAATGGAGCTCGGGCTCCCAATTCCCTGCAATTCATTCTGCTGCTGGGGGACAGAAGCAACTATCTCTGTCCCCTGTAGCTCAGCCTGCCGCTGGGGAATGGAGCTTGGACTCCCAATTCCCTGCAATATCTCCCGCTGGGGAATGGAGCTCGGGCTCCCAATTCCCTGCAATACCGTTGGAGAGACCTCGGTCCCATCTCCACCTGCCACCTGGGGTTCTTCCCAGTAATCCTCCACAATATCTACCCAGCTGAATGGGTCTGGATCTGGGTCTCCGCTTCTCTGCTGAGCCTTCTCACTGGAGTGGAACAGATCTTGGTAGCCCTGCTCCAGCTCCATCTCTCGGGTCACCAGGTGGACCAGGTCTTGCTCAATTTCTTGAGTGTCGTCCCAGTCATACCTGCTCTCCCTCCACTCCAAGAGATCACTGAACCGGGCTTGTGTAGGGCTCCCAAACTCAGGCTCTGCAAAAGACTCCCATAACAAGCCAGGACCATCAAACTCCTCTCCCTCTGGCTTGTCATGCTCGGCTGTCCAGGGAAGGTACTGTGCCCCATACCACCAGAGCGCCTGGTAGGCATCTTCCAGCCAAATCTCCTGCCATACTCAGAGCTCCAATTCCTTCACCCATTCATCCAGGGGCTGCTCTCCCAGAAAGGGCATCCGCCGGGCTACTCGCTTCTGCAGTCGCTGGTCTTCCTTGGGGAGTCTCTCGCCCCACTGGTACTCTACAATACCCAGTGCCTGGTACCAGATGCCTTTGCGCAGCGCATCTCGGTCATCCAGGGCACCCTCGTCATACTCCACTGCTGGTTCCATCTCGGTGCTGTCAGGGTCGCTGTACTGGGACATGCGTTGCCCTCAAATTGTAAAAATCCACGGAATGGTGTCGCCTGTAGCTGTCCTGTAGTCTGTGGGAACGATCCCACCGCTTGCCACCAATTGTAACGGACCGTTTTGCACACAAGGGGTTAAAACCGTTTAGGCAATCGTCCCCTTTTCAGAGATGCAGGCACAGCTACTGCAGAACACCAAACTCCCGAACAGGATACCAAGAAGCACTCCAAATTCCTGAACTGGAACCTCACGAATAGCTGCTAGCAGCTGAACAGGAAAAGCACCCAAGCGGCTTACACTCCTGGCAATCAGACTGGAACAGCATACAGTAAATCTCCCCAAGAACGAGACAAAGCTCTGTGTTGAGGGTCAAGCAGTGAACAGTTTAATGAGGGCTACCTGCCCAGTATTTATGCAGGTCTCCCACCTGTTGGACACTCCCCTAGGGGACCAAATGGGAGACTGTGACAAGGGACAGACAAGCAGACAAATAGGACACACAGTCACAATATATTCCCACAATGCATCCTGGCTTCCTCCCCTCTGCCCTGGGAGATAATTGAGAAGTAATTCAATTATCTCCCAAGACAAAGGCAAATCTCCATTATGCACGTGGGGATACTAAAACAAGCATTACTGTTAAAATACACCAGGTAAGACACATTACATTAAAACTATACATTTAACATATCCCCAGATAGCTCAGGTCTGAGCGCACATTATTAAGCGAATGGCGCTCAGACCACACGAATACAGTTTAATCGCCATGGAGCCAAAGTCTTTAATTCCACGAACAGGCTCCATTGCAGGCTATCTGGGTACTTGCACACCGAATACAATTGCAGCACTAAAAGTCCCGAATGCTCCGTTGTTCGGTTCCCGAACGGGTTTGCAGACTTCCAGCCTCAGCGGGGCTTGTAAGACAAAAGTGTCCGCTTTTGGTGTCCTGCCGCTGGGTAGAACATGCGCTGGCTACCCGGGGAGCTTCCATAACACCGCCATCGTGTGGCAGCTAGGTGTAACCGCGACCACCCAGTAATTTTCAATTAAGCTGCGGTTAACCGCAGCTTCAGGGAGGTTAATTGCCGGCACACTGCAGCTCCCAGGTGGTCTATTCATTTGTGCGGTTGTTCGGTAGATTGAATCTACCGAACAACCGGCAGAAAAGCACAAATACAGCTTTTCTGCAGGCGAAACAAAGTCTTTTAACATGGGGGCCATAGTCCAAAGGCAGCAGGTGAGCAACCAGGCTTCTCCAATGCAATGTGGCGAGATTGGTCTCGTCACACATGCTTCTAGTCAGATTTTAACATTACTTTGGCATTGCAAGCCTTAACCTTCCCACTAAGGTGATTTTCTATATTCTGAGCCCTGATCCCAAACTTTAAAGCTCACAAACTTCACCTGAGTTAGGCAAAAATAATTGGGATTTATTTACAGTATATTATCATACATTGAATAAGCCTGCCACAACACCATTGTACCCCATTTTGGCAGGTCCAACTTTAAAGGACCACTATAGTGCCAGGAAAACATACTCGTTTTCCTGGCACTATAGTGCCCTGAGGGTGCCCCCACCCTCAGGGACCCCCTCCCGCCCGGCTCTGGAAGGGGGAAAGGGAGTAAAACTTACCTTTTTCCAGCGCTGGGCGGAGAGCTCTCTGCCTCCTCTCCTCCTCCTGGGCTGAATGCGCACGCGCGGCAAAAGCTGCGCGCGCATTCAGCCCGTCGCATAGGAAAGCATTTACAATGCTTTCCTATGGACGTTTGCGTGCTCTCACTGTGAAAATCACAGTGAGAAGCACGCAAGCGCCTCTAGTGGCTGTCAATGAGACAGCCACTAGAGGATTAGGGGGAAGGCTTAACCCATTAATAAACATAGCAGTTTCTCTGAAACTGCTATGTTTATTAAAAAATGGGTTAACCCTAGCTGGACCAGGCACCCAGACCACTTCATTAAGCTGAAGTGGTCTGGGTGCCTAGAGTGGTCCTTTAACAACCTAATGTCTGCTTTTATGAGAATAGCCCATTTACTTGGGAATACCTTCCTCCTGGTGCTCTCCGCAGTGCAAGGTTAAATAAAGCATATTGTCGTGGCTGATCCTGCCTTCATTGCTGAAATCATCACTTTTAAAGATCTCAGCCAATCCATTGGAAAGCATTGGGAGGATATTGCGCATGTACAGCAAAAACGCATCACAAATCAGCATCTCCTCATAAAGAAGCATTGAATCAATGCATCTCTAAAAGGAGGGTTCGGCATACACTAAACGTAGATAGTGCACACAGTGCAGCACTGAGATCGGAAGCACGTCTAGTGGCCGTTTGAGTGCCTGCCACTAGAGGTGTTACTAGTCAACAATGTAAACACTGCCTTTTCTCAGAAAAGGCAATGTTTACATTGAAAAACCTGAAGGGACAAGCTATAGACACCAAAACCATTCAATTAAGCTGTAGTCGTTCTGGTGACTATAGTGTCCTTTTAATGTCATACATCCTATCTCTGTCTGATTACAGCTACCGTATATACTCGAGTATAAGCCGACCCGAATATAAGCCGAGGCCCCTAATTTTACCCCAAAAAACTGGGAAAACGTATTGACTCGAGTATAAGACTAGGGTGGGAAATGCAGCAGCTACTGGTAAATTTCTAAATAAAATTAGATCCTAAAAAAAATTATATTAATTGAATATTTATTTACAGTGTGTATATGATGAATGCAGTGTGTGTGTGTATGAATGCAGTGTGTGTATGAATGCAGTGTGTGTGTATGAATGCAGTGTTTGTGTATGAGTGCAGTGTGTGTGTATGAGTGCAGTGTGTGTGTATGAATGCAGTGTGTGTGTGATGCAGTGTGTGTGTATGAATGCAGTGTTTGTGTTTAGTGCAGTGTGTGTATGAATGCAGTGTGTGTGTGTGATGCAGTGTGTGTGTATGAATGCAGTGTTTGTGTATAAGTGCAGTGTGTGTATGAATGCAGTGTGTGTGTGAGTGCAGTGTGTGTGTGTGTGTTGCAGAGCCTTGGTGGGGGGGTGGGCATTTTTATAAAAAAAAAAAAATATATATTATTTTTTTTTTATATTATTATTTTTTTAATAATTTTTTTATTATTATTATTATTTATGTATTATTATTTTATTTATTTTGTTGTCCCCCCTCCCTGCTTGATACATGGCAGGGAGGGGGGCTCTCCTTCCCTGGTGGTCCAGTGGCATTGGCAGTTCAGTGGGGGGAGGAGGGGGGCTGGCAGAGCTGTTACTTACCTCTCCTGCAAGCTCTCTCCTCCCCTGCGCCGGTCCGTGCAGCTCCTCTCTCAGCTCACACTGTAAGTCTCGCGAGAGACGCACTATGACCCCGCGGCTCTCGCGAGACTTACACTGGGAGCTGATCGAGGTGCTGCACGGACCGGCGCGGAGGAGGAGAGAGCTGACAGGAGCTGCAGGAGAGGTAAGTAACAGCTCGCTGCCAGCCCCCAGTCTGTATTATGGCAATGTAAATTGCCATAATACAGACAGTGACTCGAGTATAAGCCGAGTTGGAGTTTTTCAGCACAAAAAATGTGCCGAAAAACTCGGCTTATACTCGAGTATATACGGTATATTTGCCAAAAGCTCAAGGGAACAAGGTGAATAGTCAGTGTAGGACCCACCTAAAAGGTTTGCCTTGACGTGGCAGGTGGGCATCCCCTTTCTTGGCCATTGGAGTCATTAAATAACCTCCATTTGTTTAAATAGGCATAGGTATTGTGAAGAGCGCAGGTAATTTTTTTCCTTTGGTTTTTACTGTATGTATTGGTGTTGATGTGTACTATTGTCATTGCTGCCGCCCAAGAGTAGTGGGAGTTTGAGTGCAGGACTTGTTTTTGTTTTTTTCTTGTTGTTACTGTATTCAGTGTTGATATTTCTGAAACTACCTTAAAATTGTGATTACAAAACAAAAAACACAAAACTGTTTTGTTTAGAACCGCCCCCCCCCCCCCAAAAAAACCTATACAGTCTTATATGATATCAGTTTATTACTGAACATATGTATAAAAAAAAGGAATATAATATACAGGACATACAGTAAAATACATATTAAGGAGCAGGCTATGCCCCTTTCAAGTGGAGCAACGGAGTAAATCCAAAATGGAGCCAATGAATGCCAAGGGTACCAACCCACCTACAGACTGCAGATACATTTGGAAAAAAAAATGGACGAATTAGAAGCAGAAGTATTTTACAGTATTAAGGAATACTCTGTAATGCATGGGAAAGTCATGGTCAAAAGGAAGAACTTCAGCTGTCACAGAACTACATCTCCCATAATGCTTTGCCAACACTAAGTGATTAGTTCTACAGCAACTTGTGAACTACCTTTAGACCATTCTTTGCATATCATATGCCACAGCAGAGAAATGTAGGAATGGAATGTTAGATTGAAGCCCACATACTGCTTAGGAAGTTTTATTTTGTTTTTAGAAAAGAAAAAAGAAAAAAATGGGCACTTTTTTCAATGTGATTGCCAAACTAATAATACAATTTGTATTAATTATTTTAAATCTTACTGCAAATGCATACTGTGACCAGTGTCCTTGGCATAATTCTGGAAAATAAAATGAATTTGCATCCAGTTGTTCCACTCTATATTGCACATTCTCCCTTTGACAAATAATTCAGATTAACCATTTGAGACAGGATTTCTTAATACGCCGAGAGTCCTGTCAGTAGCAGCAAAACTTCATTCAAACATTACTGAATTATCTTTGAACAGACAATTTAGATTTTTATGGCAACTGTACAAACAATAAAACATTTCTATTCAAATATGTACAACTTCTCAAACTTCATAGAATGGCTAGTTTTGTTTATCGGTCACATTCAGTCATGTACACAAAAGTTCAGATCTGCTAAAATCTTTTTAGAGCATTTTGTTGACCTTTTAAGGCAACAGCGGACCATTTTGTCACCTAAACCTTCTTTACCCACAAATCTTTTCTCAACAAAATTAGGAAACGTACAGGCTGTTGCTGCAAATCATATTAAAGGACTTCATGGAAAAACAGAAGTGCAGCAAATAGCGAAAAACGTTTAATTATGGCCTTCAATGTAGTGCAGTAATAGGTAGCACAGTTCTTAAATGCCACTGGAGGTTCAAATTTTACGTTTTTGATTATCTTTAAAATCTGCCCTTGCAGTAGCATTTAAAGACTAGCACTGCCCAAATTGCCAACCAGTGGCTGGGAAGGAATAATTTATTAAGAGCTGTAAATTGGCTTTGTTTAGCAAGTGATGAGGACCGTTAAAATTCAGAATGTACTTGTCACAAAAACAAAAAAAAATGCTCTTAAGCCCAGAGGTAGATTTATGATGTATGACTCCCAGATATAGGCCTGCTAAACTGGGAAATACATATAAATAAGGAAAAAAAGTTTGAAAATACAGAGAGAAAAAAATAAAAAAATACTGTTTGCCCTTTCAGAAAAGAAATCAGCAAGAGGCATTGTATATTCGTCTACACTAGTAAACAGAATCGTTGCTTATGGGACTTTCGAGACCAACCAACAGATCAGGGATTGGGATATGGTGCTTCCATTCTCACATTACTGATACAATAGTAACAGACATAAACTTTGTAGTTTGATCTTTTCTACTGGAAGACTGTAGCAGTCTTCCAGTGTTCAGTGCAGTTGGGACAGTAGAGTGGACAACATCTAGGTTGAAGACTAATGTGGTTATCACATGTGATCGAGATGTGACTTGGTGGTTTGGGATTTCCGAAGAGAACAGTCTACTGAATTTTACAAGTTTTTTTTTTTTTTTTTAGCAGAGGACAGCCAGTGGGTCATCGTTGCTATAGAAGCATGGAAGGATGGCCACCAAAGCTTCTTCTATAGAAAACAGATGTTTATCTTCTGCATCTGGACAGTAGTTATGCATAAAGTCTGCCAGGCGAAGCAGATACTCAATGTTGTGTCCAGCTCGCCCACTAGATACTATTATTTGAGCTGCAATGTCGTCTTCGGAGGCAGGCCCTAGGTAGCTTGGGTTTTTTGGAGTGGCAATGTATACCAATGCCAGCACTGCTGCTTCTTCTCCTTCATCTTGAGGGTAGAATTTGACCAATTTGGTGATGTAGCCACCAAGAACGGACTCTCGCACATTCAAGTACTGCAGGGTTGACTCAATTTGATCACCACGCACTTCATAAGCCACACCCCATGTGCATTCCTGCAAATAAAACACATAGGACAACTTATTATTATTTTTTATAATATGAATTGGAGCAATAAAAACAGTCTATTATAGTTTAACCTTACTGAATGTAACCACTGCTATATTAAGGCATGCAGAAGGGTGGACTCCTAGACACTGTACCAGAGATATTGCTAATCATAATAAAAAGTAACTAGAACAAAATATTTAATCAGGAAAGGTATATTTAGCTCTTTTGCTGATTTCCAAGTATGTCATGGGCTGTAGACTTTTTTTTATTTTTTAATTACCCAACCTAATGAGTCTTAATTTATAGACTATGGAAGGATAAAAGCTGTGCCTTGTATAATAAAATAAACATTTTTTTTCTTATATTTAAACCTTAACTATTGAATTATGGCTAAGAGCTTGAGTTATATCCTATACACACATCAGAGGGTAACTTTAAAATGAATACTTGATGTGTTTCTATGTTGAAGTTATAAACTATATCGTTTTCAAAAGACTCAAACTCACCTCATAGTCTTCTTGTAAGGTGACTACTCGGCCAGGCTGTGAATAGAAAGAAAAATGAGTGAGTGATCCTGATGCTGATTTATATCAAATAATAAAATATAAATGAATGTAGCACTGCCTCAGAGTCAGATTTTGGTATTGTAACAGTTTTGTTAAACATTTCTGTGTTTTTTAACTAAATAATAAATTTTTCACTAAACACCAGACTGCAGCAAACGGAAATCTAAATGGCAGTGTACAGGCTAAAATAGCCGATCTGGAAAAATTCCCCAATACAGCTATAGTCACAGCTTGGATATTGTACCCTGAATTTTACCATTCTGATTTCAATTAGCTACAAATCACAGTTTAGCAAATAAGCCATTTTGAGGGTGTGTTTTTTAAAACCCAAATTGTTTTAAAACATTATTGCAAGTTATCGATATTGATTGAATTATTATTTGGCACATTAAAAACAAATATTAAGAATGACCATAAAAAAACAATTAAAAACTAAATAAGATAAATATTAGCTTAAGTAACACATAGCCTAACAACCTCTCTAATATCAAGTGGTCATTCCAACACTGCGTGATAGATAGATAGATAGATAGATAGATAGATAGATAGATAGATAAATCCTTCATTCAAAACTGTAATTTTAACTCAAGCCATATTTTAGGATGCTCACCATTTGTGGGCTGCCTCTGTGAAAGGAGTCTCCCTGCCAGAACTTGCGGCTGTACCCAGGGATAAAACCCACTTTACTGGAGCTGAATTCAAAGTCTGGTTTCCAGACCAATGAGCCATATCCGAAGATCCAGAGGGATGTATTGGGGGAGATGGGCTCCTCCATGGCAGTGGTGAAGTTGCTGGGCATTAATGCTAACGGTGTAAGAGGTAGTGAGTCGGGTGTACAGTGGTACTGATGCAAGAGACAGCAGGACATATAAACATATTACTGTGCTGTAACCCCGCCTTCTATATGGAATCCTGGCACTTCTCCCACCAGTCTTTCCATTGCAACATTGTAACCCCGCCTTTCTGTCCGTTTCACCCAGCGCTCATTGGCTAGAATGACTATCTCTCAATGTCAGGTCCCCGCCCAGGGCTTGCTTGAATTAGTATGATGCAAGAGTGTGAACTGGTTTCAGTGTATGTCTGGTAATAGAGCAAGCACTGTGAGGATTGCATCAGGCAGAGATAGCCGGGGGCCTGTCACTGCTGCTGTGATTTATTCTGTGTCTACTGTATATACTGAATCTAGAAAAAGACACCTCTGCAGCCAACATTAACTAGTTGTGGTGATTGCTGATTTATACCCAATGGGTGACAAAAATATCAAGGAAATGTTAGATGATTTTAATTTAGAATGTGCATATTTGTGAGAAGGGAAGCAACAAGAATTTGTTATATGTCTGATAATTTGATGTTGGGCATTTTGATTTGAAGATGAAAGTGTGCAAAATGGGGAATAGTAATACCCAACCCCACTTATTATCTGTTATTGTAATGGTAGGGCTTATTTACTAAACAGTGAATTGTAAACTCTTCTGCAAAACTAAGGCAACATAGCTGATTCTGGAATCCACTGTGGTACACTGATTAGTGTATATAAAAACAAAACACCCGTCAGTTGCAAGTAATTGTCTATTATGCCCTCTTATTAGGAGCTCAGGATTTTGGGATGTACTGTAGGGGCAAAATAAAGATGGGGGTTGTTGAGTGGAGTTTGGGTTTGAAAAACTGAATCTCTTTAAAAAAAGTGAAAAACACCAGGGGTATGTTGCTCAATGAATAATAAACACACAGTTGGTACTGAGGTGGCTGTAGAATGCGATTCCTTGAATGCACCTCCACTAATGTGCTAAAACTCCATTCTAATTCCTCTTGCACAATTAACCCTCAACTAATAAATGCATACCAACTAACCATTTTGTTCTTGCACCAGCTACCCTCGATCTTACCTTTATCCTTAAAGGAACACTCCGACCATAACCACTACAGCCTTCCCAGTGTAATTAAACATTGGCACTCTTAGCGAATAAACCCAGCCAATGGTTTGCAGTGGTTCTGGTGTCTAAAGTGTTCCTTTTAAGGACAGTATAATTTGTTATAGCAAACTAACCTTTAATCCCTTAAGGACACATGACGTGTGGCATGTCATGATTCCCTTTTATTCCATAAGTTTGGTCCTTAAGGGGTTAAAGATCTTATGTGGATATTGATGTCCACCTTATCTAATGGTAACAGGTCTGTATACAGCTGTTAATGGTAAATGTGGCAATTTTATACTGGCATAGGCTTTTAAGACACCAGGCAGTGTTGTCAACATTAAATATCGTTGAGACTTATGGCAATTAATTATCTTGTGATTATTCATTTATTTAGCTGATAGTGCTATCTATACTTTTTATTGAGTACAGTATAATCATGTAGCATATTTTAAGTTGTCAGCGGAAATATAGATTGCAAAGCTTAGCGATTATCAATATTGTGCTTCACTTTCTTAATTGATAGCTCCCTACCCGTTTATATTTAAAGTGACACTATAGTCAACCAGACCACTTCATCTCATTGAAGTGTTCTGGGTGCAGTGACCCTGTCCCACTTAGTCCTGCAATGTACGTAATTGCAGTTTTAGAGAACCTTCAATTACTACCTCACAGGACTAAGACTGCCTCTAGTGGCTGTCAATCAGACATCCACTAGAGGTACTTCCTGGATCCTAACTGACTCTAGGTCCCCTAATTGACGCTCGACGTCCTCACGCTCTGCATGAGGGTGTAATTATTATTATTGCCATTTATATAGCGCCAACAGATTCCGTAGCGCTTTACAATATTATGAGAGGGGGGGGATTTAACTAAAAATAGGACAATTACAAAAAAACTTACAGAAACGATAGGTTGGAGAGGACCATGCTCAAACAAGCTTATATTCTATAGGAGGTGGGGCAGGGTATCAAACTTCAGTGAAATCCCCATAGGAAAGCATTGAGGCAATCATTTACTATTGGGAGAGCAGCAAGAGCATTATGATGTCCCATCAGAGGAAGTTGAGGGGAATCGGCCCTGGAATCGTGTAAGTGTCTAAAGTGTATTTTAACCCTTGATATGCTGGAGGGGTGACCATAGGGCACTATACTATTACACAGTTGTCACTGACAATGGAGGGGTTAACACTTCTGTGGTGGATGTGTGGTCTGTGATTTTCCCCTTGTCTTGATAAAGTTATATGCTACATATAGAATTATATCAGAATATTGTCCCATAGGCACATGCTGAGATAAGGTAAAATATTTTATGCACACTGAATTCTAAATCCCCATGGGGAGAATAAAGTTTGCTGTGTTTTACTACTTGAACTCCAGGAGCTATTTTTCAACTGGAATAAATTAGCAGCCATACAAACACTTCACATTCATTCCACACACAGTATTTACCTAAGTGGTTTGACAAGATCTGCAAACTGACAAGAGATAAACATCTCAGGTTCTTCTTATCCTAGAATGACAAATATATATCTTTTCAGAGATTGCTTTCAGTTGGTCCTTGGGAGAGTTCCTTTCCCAAGCAGGATGATGGTCTCTAATGACACTAACCTACTGGCTTCATTGCCTGTGCATCGGAATCAGAAAGTGTTACATAGTTACACAGACTGAAAAGCATAGGTGTGCACAGCCTATCGTATAAGGGTGTGCACCCTAAAGCACAAACACACACGCTGCATATATATATATGTGACGTTGTGGCAGGCTTATGCAATGTATGATCATATAATGTAACTAAACCCCCATCATTTTTGCCTGGATTAGGTGTTTTTAAAAAAACAAATAAAATCTTTCAACATTGAAGTTGCTGTTTAGTAGATAGGTGAGTGCGCTGGATCTTGTGTATTATATATATATATATACACACACACATACTGCTGTGTGTGTGTGTGTGAGGGTGCTGTGTGTTAAGGCACTGTGTGTGTTCGGGCGTAGTGTGTGCGGGCTCTCTGTGTGTGTGCAGGCACTGTGTGTGTAAGGGCGCTGTTAGTGTGTGCTGTATGTGTGTATGTGTAAGGGTGCTGTGTGTGTGAGGGTGCTGTGTGTTTAAGGGTGCTGTTAGTGTGTAGTGTGTGTATGTGTAAGGGCACTGTGGGTGTAAGGGTGCTGTTAGTGTGTGCTGTGTGTGTGTGTGTGAAGGCGCTTTGTGTGTAAGGGCGCTGTTAGTGTGTGCTGTATGTGTGTATGTGTAAGGGTGCTGTTAGTGTGTGCTGTGTGTGTGAGGGTGCTGTGTGTTTAAGGGTGCTGTTAGTGTGTAGTGTGTGTATGTGTAAGGGCACTGTGTGTGTAAGGGTGCTGTTAGTGTGTGCTGTGTGTGTGTATGTGTGAGGGTGCTGTGTGTGTAAAGGTGATGTATGTGTGTGTTTGTGTGTAATGTGTGGGGGCCGTTTAGTTAATATCCTCCCTCCCTTCTTACCTTATGTAGGGAGGGGGACCGTGCTGCTGCCATCCATGGTGGTCCAGTGGAGAGTAAACTCTATCCCCACAGGGGGCTAGAGTTCACTCTCGCGAGATCTGAGCGTTGCCGCGGTAACTGCGGTAACCGCTGCAACGCTCTGACTTCGTGAGAGGAACCCAGCGGAGCTGCTGGCAAGAGCTCCCCGGGTCCTCTCCTGCCTCCTTCCATGCCTGTGGTTAGGTGAGGGAGATCTTTGACTTCCCTCACCGGCCCACGGAGGGAGGCACATAGCGTGTGCCGCGGGGATTAGGGTGTGCCCAGGCACACCCTGTGCGCACGCCTATGCTGAAAAGAGACACGCGTCCATCCAGTTCAGCCTTTCTCACTTCTGTTTTTGCTATTTATCCAAAAGATAGCACAAACCCAGTTTGAAGTGCTTCCAATTTTGCAGCAAACTAGGAAAAAATCCTTTTCGACCCCAAAATTGCAGTCTCATCTGTCAACGAGTTGCTATTTAATCATCTGTACAGACACTGAGAAAACCACCTCTAAAGGCAGAGATTTTTTTTTATCATGTCTACTTATCAAGGGTACCCTTAGGGCCTCTACCACACCCATTTCACCAAGTCAAGCAATGACATGTTTCATATTGTACCTGTTATTTTACTTAAGCCATATGTCTGTTATCTTACGTAAAAAAATGTGTGGCTATTACATGTTTGTGGATGAGTTATTTGCCTAGTGATCATACATTTGCTGCTTACTCCATGCATGATGTGTTGCCTCAGGGCCGGCCCAAGACATTGTGCTGCCTGGGTCCAAGGATGAAATGCAGCCCCCCCCCACACTAAAACAACCCACATATATGTTTCTGCAATGGTAGTGTCTCTATTTGTGTGTGTTGGAGTTGAATAGTGTGTGTGTGTGTGTGTGTACTGGGGATGAAGTGTGTGTCTAACTGTGTGCTGGGGATAATATGTGTCTGTGTGTTTGCTGGGGATGAAGTGTGTGTATGTGTGTGCTGGGGATGTAGTGTGTATCTGTGTGTGTGCTAGGGATGTAGCGTGTGTCTGTGTGTGCGCTGCAGCCAATACACTTACCTATACACTGTGTCTATGTATATGCATGTGTGTCACTGTTTGTATCTGTATGTCTGTATATGTGTCAGTGATTGTATCTGTTTGTCTATGTATCTGCATATGTGGCAGTGTTTGTATCTGTGTGTCTGTATATTTGCATGTGTATCAGTGTGTCTGTGCAACTGTATGTGTGTCTGTATATCTATGCACACAAGAATATCTACAACAAAGAAAAAACTAAAATAGTGTAAAAGGTCAGGTGGGAGCTTAAAGGCTATTCAATGTTGCACTAACAAGAGATTAAATGATAGAAGGCCTTAAGCTCATCCAATATTGTTTTCTTCTCTCTTTTACTCCATATCCAAAGCATTCATAGCGGGAGAGAAAAATGGACAACTAGAGTAGATCTTCTTATATCCAAAATGAACAATGTATTGAATCTACTTACAAGATGATTAAAAGAATA